TGGAAAGAGCAGGTGTTCTTAATGTTTTGTACACTCAGTGTACAGTAGATGTGTTTCTCCACTAGGTGGCAGAATCAGCTGTCTCAACACAGTTCAATCTGATCATGCATAAATCTGAATCAGTATGACCATTGCATGTTGTGTAGTGTTGTTGTTGTTGTTGCTATGTGTGTGCGCACGTACATGTGTGCGTGCATGTGGGTGCATGTTACAGCCTGTCGCTGGAAAGTGAACACGTTGTAGTTTACAAGGCATCCCAGGTCTGAATGTTAAGTCTTAAAATTGTCTGTAAAAATGTTGTCCTGCCTGAGTACATTAGTTTTCCTTCTGAAGGGGAGCTGGCTTAGTGAAAAAGGGCTCATGTTGAGCTGTGATGACTTGTGGTGCAGAATCTACCTTAATGGGATCACAGAGAGGGGGAGGTGAGAGTAACACTAACGTACTGGGCTGAGGTGTACACTGCCCCTAAGCACTGATCTAGGATCAGCTTCATGGAGTGGTTCTCATCTTTGTTAACTTTCAGTAAACAAAAACAACTGTCTAGTCAGGATCCTAACTTACCAAGGAACTAGCTCAACTTTTCCAACTCCTCAAGGGAGTCAACAGCAACACTGACCGTGTCTCTACCCATTATCAAGGGGCAATGCTGAAGGGCCTGTCACCAGCAAGTGTCTGTCCTACTACAGGTGTCAGGTTCTAAATCAGCATTACAGGTTCTAAATCAGCATACTCTCTTGGGTAGTTCCCACTGTCTCTCCTAATGAACTTGTCCTGAATACCTCTGACAATCTCTCTGTGTTTTTACTGCTCTTTCATCTTATCAGGAGAGCAGTGTGTTAAGGGACTCCATATGACTCAGGGGGATCATGTAGGATATTGTACTGAGGCAAAGTGTCAGCCACAAGATTGATTGTGTAAGTAGATAAATATATATTTATATTTATATCCATGGTTGAAATGGCCAATGTTGACACTGCATCCTTTCAATATTGAAATATTTAGTAAGACTGTTCAAAGGGTATAATGCAAACATAATTACAACGTTGTGTAATTATTATTTATTTATTTATTTTAGTCATTTAGCAGACAATTATCATGATATACTCACATTGTGGGTGTTGACGTGTTTAACAAAAACACAACAAACAAAAATTTGACCAACTGGTGACATTTTGTTAGTCCCCACAAGGTCAAATACTATTTCTAGGGGGTTTAGGGTTAAGGTTAGATTTAGTGTTAGGGTTAGAATTAGGTTTAGGGTTAGGAGCTCAGGTTAGGTTTAGGGTTAAGGTTAGGTTTTCGGGTTAAATTTAGGGTTAGGGTTAGAGTTAGGGTTAGGGGTTAGGGAAAATAGGATATTGAATGGGACTGAATTGTGTGTCCCCACAAGGTTAATTATACAGGACTGTGTGTGTGTGCATGTGTGTGTGTAACTGAGTGCATAACACTGATCTCTACTGGGCCTGAGCGGGTAACCAGTCCTGCTCCTGGCGATATCAACCAGGCAATATCAAAGTTAGGGGTAAGGTTAGGGTTAAAGTTAGAGTTAGTGGTAGGAAGGTGCCATGGTTGTGTACTTCCTAGCAACCCTGCTCTCCCGTACAGAGCCTCTGCTAACAGCTTGTGTCGTCTGGGTAACCTGAGCACCCTGAGGTGTGAAACCAGAGCACCAGATCACCGGACCATGGTCCAAATCGATTTGACCAATAAAGTCCAACCTCTTTGACTCACCCCTTATTATGGGGTTAGAGGCATATATTCACTTTCTCAGGATGCTTAATAAAATCTGAGGAAAATCAAACAGGACTCTGAATGGAAAGGTCAAATGACCACTGGTGGTAATGAGACACTGGGCCAGGGCAAAACACAACAGAACATTCTAAACCCAGGTCAGCCAGCCTGTAGGCATACAGTATGGGCTAGGTCCAGTGCTTCCAGAAGGGATTTGGCCCAGGAATCCTCCAACTGGGATTTTGGGGAATTTTGGGAAAGTTACCAGAAGTTTGCAACCCTTGTACTGAGACCTGAGACCTGAGACCTGTTATAAGACAGGTTGAGCCTGTTTGGATTTGATTGTCCACTTATAGAAGCAAGGCATGAACCTCGATACAATCCTGGGGCAGGAATATTAAGAGGATAAAGTGATGGACACTCATAAGCACTGGAGATCAATACAGAGCTTACTGTTCGTTATTCAGACAGTATGAGTTGACTCATCAATGAGAGAGGGGCTTATGCAGTGTGTGGCTGTAAATATAGAGGGATTTTTATTCCACGCTAAGCTCATTTAAAACTTGACTCTATTGTTATTAGCACAGGCTTTTCTTCTTATACCATCTTAGGGAGCCCCCTAGTAATTGTAATACTGCTTAGAGCAACTCTGTTGTACTTCAAAGCAACGAGAGGGAGCAATGTGTTGTAGAAAAGTGATTATTTTCTATTATAACTATTCAATTTTACAAAAATGTATTCCATTTACCATTTTAAAAAAGAAACATCTTTAAACATTATCATGACTGATGCCTCTATTTTGATCACGTCATGAAAAAAATATGTGTATCATAGTACATGATACAATCAACAGACATTATGTATTTTCCATGTGAGGTCACGTATTATTTGTTCAAATGTTTCATATTCACAGAACATTTTAGAGTTGGGAGTACATGAGGAACACCCTGTCCCAATACAGTGACAGAAGCAGATTTAGGAGAAAGAGATCATTTATTAAAGCACGGCCCTCCCAAAACCTCCATCCCCCTAACTCTCCATTTCCATGCAAGACACAGAATTCACCCCATACCCTACCAGTGGATTAACAGAAATGCCCCCACCCCAGTAATGCCAGGGAGGTAGTGGGTAGGTGGGGGGGACTCAAGACAGTAAGGGCCTTGTCACCACACCAAGCCTGAGAAGGCCTCTCCTAGCAACCATAGACGGCAACACAATAACCTTTCACACAGCCGACAGGGCGTCCAAAAGGCCCTTTGAATGGAGCTCAGCTCACCCCTGTGAAGAGGCTGTGCTGCAATGCTTCATTATGGACAACCAGGCCTCTGGAGCCCTGCCAGAGAGAGAGAGAGGGATAAGGAGGATGGAAGGGAGGGAGGAGAGGAGTAATAGGAGGGGATGTGGGGAGGAGAAGGATTAAGTGGAGGAGAAGCAATGAAGCAGTTACAGGATGGAGTAGAGGTATGGGGAAGAGGAGGGATAAAGGTGAGGAGGATGAAGGAGGAAGATGAGGAGAGGACTGGATAGGAGTAAAAGGAGTAAGAGAATTAGAAGTGAGAGGGATGGAGGAGGAATGGAGGGGAGAGACAGACAGGACACCAATGGGAGAGTGTTTAATGTCTGCTGTCACTGTGCCAGTGGCCTTCGACTGTTTATAGACCCCAGACCGGTAATGTCCATTTAAAATCTATGAGGAGACACTAATGACGTCACAAGCATGGTGGGCAGATGTGAGCAAATGATCAGGGTCTGATGTATCGTCTGAACTGATCTCTGTCGTCCCCCCCCCCCCCCTCTCTCCCTCTCTCTGCAGAAGGCATACAACATCAACCAACAGCAGCAGTGTGTGAAAAATGGAAAGCACCGGAATGGCACAGGTACGTCTGGCCCTCTAAGTGTTATGAAACAATAACAGGCCTGGGAAGTAAAGCCAAGCACCTCTGAGTTACCATTCTGTGTTATCACAGCCTTTCCATGTACATAGAGGAGTAATGGACCTGGCCCTCCACTCACCTGTCTTCTGCACACTTGGCACGTTTGACTGTTTACTGGTCTGGTTACAGTGTTTGTGTTATGCATGAAAACGTGTTTTAAGGGTCCAAATCATCAAGCAAGAACCTTAAGAGTCTTACAAGGGTCTTACAATTCAGTACCTGTGCTAAGATGATAAACCCTGATTATGTCGACTTCGTGAAATACGATGGATTTTGTGGTACTCGACAGAGACTTCAGAGTCCAACATTAAGTCAACATGTCTTCGAGAGTTTTCTTCAGTACTAAAGAGATTTTAAATGTTTCCTAATCCCATGTCTCATTTTGTTGACAAACTAAGGATATGTTTAATGAAAAGCAATATTTATAACTGTAACAAATAAGTCAGTGAACAACTTTTCTATAGTGGTAAGTAACCCTCTCTTTGTCAGGAGAAAAATATCACAATGACACTGATAACCCTATGGGTGATGGTAGGCTAGCTCATAATCTCTATGTAGCCTGGCTAATACTGTATACATTTTACATCCCCTTAAAGTAGAGGCAATGGGAAAGCCATGTGGAGATGAACAGCCCAGCGTGCTCTTTCGCATTACAGCCAGCCTGGCTACTGTACTACAATCTGCTGAGTATGAAAGCACCCGGATGACTTATGGTTAATGTGAGCATTGGGCCAAAGAGCTTAAACTCTCTGCTAATCCTACCAGCTATAGACCACTGAGGATCAGAGAGAGGAGGAGAGATGGAGGGGGGGGGGGGGGGGGGAGAAATAGAGAGAGAGAGAAATAGAGAGAGAGAGAGCGAGGGGGGGATAGTATAAGAGAAAGACAGAAAATAGTGAGAATGAAAGAATTGAGAAGAGAGAGAGAGTAGGGGAGAGGGAAAGGAAACAAGAGAGAGGATAGAGGAAAAGAGAGAGAGAGACAGAAGAGAAAAAAATTGTAAGAGAGAGCATGAGACAGAGAGCGTGAGAGGGGGAGAGAGAGCATCTAACAGCAGGTTAGAGAGGGAAGGGAGAGGCAATAGAGAGAGTAATAATATTAGAGGGAGAGAGAGATCACAGAGTGGGAGGGAGGGAGGGATTGAGGGAGGGGCAGGGCAGTGGAATGCCCAGGGTCATGTGACTGTTTACGCTAGCCTGGGCACAGAAGTTTAAAGGAGTGCTGCAGCAGCCCTGCCTCTGACGGGCTTCTACACAGAGACATGTAGGTTTGAGAGACAGGACACACAGATACACCTGGACACAGATAGAGAGAGAGAGAGACACAGAGAGAGGCATGGCACAGAGAGTCACCCACAGCCACAGCCTGTTCCCTCCTGGCCAGTCTGGGAGGCCCAGGGACGTGCTGGTCAAGTCAGGTAAGACCCATGCAGAGCCAGACTCCACTCTGTCACTATGGCAGAACAACAGGTCTGACACAGAGTCTTCAGCAGAAGCCAGATTTTGTTATATGTTATAGACTTTGTTTATTTATGGGAAAGGGAAATTGTGCAAGTACAGAGAAGGTAGTGAGATCTGTACAGTATGTTGATAAAACAACATGGTTTTGCAAGGACACTGGGATGTATTACTGAGGTTAGCTGGAGGGAACTTTGTAGATACTATATAGATGTTGTTGTCAGTTTCTATTTATGGGGGAGAACGTGTTTCAGACAAATCTAGGAGGGTTCATTGGCAGTGCCTGGAACAGACAAACATGGAGTGAAATATACTCGATGTGAGACACAAAGAGCATCAGATCAGTTTCACAGCAAATCAGCTGTGGACAGCTAGCTATGTCTATGACTGATGAATTGGCACAGCAGCACAGATTGTCATAGTAACAGTTTGGGAACGATGTGCTGGACACACCAAGGTGTCACTAGGCTCTCTGACTTCACATGGCAAGATGATGACAGCATAGCAATTGTAAATACCTAATTTGATTATTTGAATAGAGTGTTTATTTCAGAGAGATTCATTCAGATTATTTCCAAGCAGAATTTTCATGTTTTGTACCCTTGAGAGTCTTGGGACATTAACATGTGCTCTGGGCAGAAAAGCCTTACGTCCACTGTCCATCAATTGGACAGTGCAGGACCTCCTATGTGCACTTTAAACTGATCGATGGCTGCTCTGTTGTCATATATTGCTCAAACTGTTTGAGACTTCCACCTTTCGCAACCTATTTTTCTGTGTTTCACTTGCAGTATCTGGATGTCTTGTTTATTTAAGTAGAAGAACACTGGGTTCACCTCTGTGGTATAATGGCTGAGTTGTGATCAAGTCAAATAAACTGTGCTGCCTGCCGGGCATGTTATCAGAGGGTGTGTGACTGACTGCCCTGCATGAGTATGACAACAGTAACATACTCTACTTAAACATGCACACCATGTACTTGGGTCCCTTATTCAAGCAGCATGTCTGTACCATTCTGTCTGTATCACTAATTAATCTACAGTGACCCTGAGTGAATAATTAGCTTAATTCAACTCTACAGTCACAATTCTAAGAATCGTACTGTATGATTCTGATGGCCTGTCTGGTTAGGCCTAACATCTGTCTTCCTTGGCTGCTGCTGATATGAGGTTAGAGCCCTGCCTTTTTAATGATAATGACTTCATGGAGCCTCAGTCTGCATTTCATGGTGTGTCATCAATCTGTATTCACAGTGTATTCTGGGAAAACAACTCTCCCGCCCTGTCCCGTGGGAGCCTGCGTTGCCACGACGACAACCAGTGTTCTGTTTGTATACAATCTGAGAACTCTTTCACTCTGATTTTTCCTCCCAAGGTGCATAGCGTCAGAAGTAATAATTTCCCTACCCAAGCCATCTGCGTGCACTTCCTGGAATACCAGGGAAGTAAAACTCACTGAAAAACATTAGAATGTGCCTTGGTTGAAAGTCATAAGGAAATAGTTGGTGACAGGCCAAGCCATTTCACCTTAATTTCCCAAAGTAATTTATAATCAAACAATGTGTAGCCTGCTTTGACTCCAATAACCACTTACTGGGCGGCAGGTAGTTTAGTGGTTAAGAGCGTTGTGCCAGTAACCGAAAGGTCGCTGGTTCTAATCCCCTAGCCGACTAGGTGAAAAACCTGTCGATGTGCCCTTGAGCAAGGCACTTAACCCTAATTGCTCCTGTAAGTCGCTCTGGATAAGAGCGTCTGCTAAATGACGTAAATGTAAATGTACTCAGGATATGCAGACATAACCTAATAGTGGCAAAATAAAGCATTTAAAAGAACAAACAGCGACTCAAACTACATTGCCATAAAATGGTTTGCTGCAGATTGTGGGAGGATGGGGACTGAAAGGGCTCATGTTTCTCTAGCCACTGTAGCCTGAGCCTGTTCTCCTGCCACAGACACCCAGAGGAACATATGATTTCCCATGCTCCTCGAGGGTTATCAGAGAACCCTCTAAATGCATTGTCCCAATGCAACTGGATGATGGACTCAGTGCACAGAGGTACTATTAACTTACCCAGGGTGCATTGAGATGACATCTAGCTTGGTCTAAATGTCAAATCAATTCAACCACAGTCAGGATTATATGACTGAAGAGCTACTGAATTCACCTATGTGTCCGTCTCCTACGTGACACTCTGCATCTCTTGATCTTTTGAGAGAGTCTTGTCTATTTTTATGAAAGATAAGTAAACATTCCATACTGAGGATTGTGGACGTATATTGCATAACAAATGATACACACAGGAACACAAAGCCAGCACAAAATGTTGCACATACAGATGTGAATGTACACCCAAACATGCACACACACAGTACATACACAGTATACCCATAAAGACCACATTCCTGTCACTGTATGAGTGGTTGTGTAGAGATCCAGCAGAGAACTGGAGTACAGTAAGCTGCTTTAGACATCGCTGCTGCTTTAGAAACTGCCAGAGGTCGGACCAAGTCACTATTTTTCGAGTCACAAGCAAGTCTCAAGTCACAAGGTCCGAGTCTCAAATCGAGTCCCAAGTAGAACAGATCAAGACTCGAGTCAAGTCCAAGTCATGCATTCTAAGAGCAAGTCGAGTCACAAGTTTTCAAGTCAAGTCTTAGGTCAAGTTTTAAAAAGTCTATACATGCAATGACTTGGTCAACTACCAATCTTTGTCTATTTATTGACGCTACCAGATAACCCTGTTCATTATTTTGTCTATAACACATTTTCATTAGCCTAATTAGGGATATGGATCTTGTAGCAGTCGTAAGGGCATGAAATCAGCAGAAGGCAAGGCAGGTTGACATGTTCAGAGTGTAGATTTATTTACAAGTCTTGGTGATCCAATGGTGAAAGTGCCATATCATACAAAATATACAAGTAGATTTACCAAATATACACTGGCAATAGCCAAAAAGAAATAGCCTCTGTATCAGGCTTAACCTGTCCTATCTGAACAGACACAGGTAGAGGGCAAGACTGTACAGCCTCCCCTTGAGAAACCAAATCGAAACAGGTAGGCCTACATAATATAAGCACTTGGCCCAAGGGCCATACAATTTCAACCAATAAACTGGTATACAATGTAAAAGGCAATTTCCACATCCATTGTTACATTCATCTTAATCAGACATAATGATTATTAATGATATGTCAACACCATGCATACATGGAACAATCATTTTCTCTTATTCAACGTTCTGACTCCAAAGCGTGGTGCGCAGGCCGTGTAGCCTATTTCTATGCGCACTGAGGCATGCACGCTCTTATTACGCACAACCATGGATGACAGAGACATAGGACACAGACACACGGAATGTCTTGTTTTGCACGCTTTGTACAAAATAATAAAATGCAGTACGACAGGATCTTTCTAAAAGTAGCTCTTTATTAGCTATTTGTAACTGGCATGTTCACGTGTCTGCGGCCATGATCAACTGAAAATGACCTCACGATCTAGGTGGTCTTAACCAATCATAGCGCAGTATGATACGACGGTAGAATGCAACCAATTACAATTCAGTATGTTTACACATATGAATATTACACCGAACTCCGAAAATATGAACAAAGGAAACCATACATTGAATTAAATAACCAGAACTTCTACCTCATGAGTCTTGTGAACGTTCATGTGCACAATAAACATTGCGCCCACTCAGCGGGTAAGAAATGGTTGGCTAAATGAAAATGTATTGTAGGCCTATCAAACATGAAACAGAAATGTCTACCTGTTGCAACACACAGTAAGGGATGGAATTATGAAATGCTAGCAATTACTGTAATATTAGATGGAATATATAGATTTATCACATAGGGCCTATGCATTTAAATGCGTGAAAGCAAGAACAAACATTTCAACAAGAGAATAAACCACTCTCAGAGTAATAATTCATTTGTAACAAATTCCAAATGCAAGCTTCATGAGTAAATTATACATTTCAAGCAATTATTACATAACAAAATACCAGTAGGCCTATGCTAGTAATTGTTGCCCCATTGCTGATGAGCTTGCAAAGTAAACAGTTAATATTCTCTATGAATTGCATTTTCCCTGTGCTCTCCCTCTCATCTCTCTGTAGACTGACAGGCCCACTCTGATCAGCGATTAATAATGCCCTTATAATCCTCAGACAAACAAGACCTCCTGGGTCATATAGTTCTGCTGTTGTTCCTTTCAAGTTACTGCAGGTTACTGCACTGTACACAGCTAAAATGCAAGACTGGCACTGTATTTGTCAATCTGCTGTTAGTGGCATTCTGTTCAAATGAGAATTAGGCAGATGAACAAAATAGCATTTCAAGCAATGGCCTGAATTCAATCACCTGTATTTGCTAAGGCAACCCAAGAGACAGATTTATTTCTCCATCTAAAATGAGTTGATGCATGTCTTACTGTTTTCAATGCCCAACATCATCTCCTGTTGGTCCCAGCCCATCAACATCCTGTCACTAGCCCTGATTGGGAAGTACTGAGACAAGACAACCACAGCTCATTTCAATTTTCTGAAATATTAAGTAGCAGAGATGGTGTCTGGTTGCACTTGAGAAAGAGAGTCATTGTTCTGAGCTAGCCTGCATGCGTATGACACCTGATCTCTCTCCAGAAAGACTCTGGCACGGATCAGGTGCCTCTTAATCTGTCTGTTCTGATGGAACAAAAAATATGTGGAAAATACAAAGGGCTGGGACATTAGGTACAGACAGTATAAAACCATGTCTTTGCTTTATGTACACTGTATATGTACAAAAGTATGTGGACACCCCTTCAAATTAGTGGATTCGGATATTTCAGCCACACCCATTGCTGACAGGTGTATAAAATCGAGCACACAGCCATGCAATCTCCATAGACAAACATTGGCAGTAGAATGGCCTTACTGAAGAGCTCATTGACTTTCAACGTGGCACCGTCATAGGATGCCACCTTTCCAACAAGTCAGTTCTTCAAATTTCTGCCCTGCTACAGCTGCCCCGGTCAACTGTAAGTGCTGTTATTGTGAAGTGGAAACGTCTAGAAGCAAAACTGGCTTAGCCACGAAGTGGTAGGCTACACAAGCTCACAGAACGGGACCGCCAAGTGCTGAAGCGCATAGCACATAAAATGTGTCTGTCCTCAGATCCAAACTGCCTCTGGAAGCATTGTCAGCACAAGAGCTGTTCGTCGGGAGCTTCATGAAATGGGTTTCCATGGCCGAGCAGCTGTACACAAGCCTAAGATCACCATGAGCAATGCCAAGCGTCTGCTGGAGTGGTGTAACGCTCACCACCATTGGACTCTGGAAAAGTGGAAACGCGTTCTCTGGAGTGATGAATCACACTTCACCATCTGGCAGTCTGATGGACAAATCTGTGTTTGGCGGATGCCAGGTGAATGCTCCCTGCCCCAATGCATAGTGGCAACTTTAAAGTTTGGTGGAGGAGGAATAATGGTCTGGGGCTGTTTTTCATGGTTCGGGATAGGCCCCTTAGTTCCAGTGAAGGGAAATCTTAACCCTGCAGCATACAATTACATTCTAGACGATTATGTGCTTCCAACTTTGTGTCAACAGTTTGGGGAAGGTCCTTTCCTGTTTCAGCATCACAATGTCCCCGTGCACAAAGTGAGATCCATACAGAAATGGTTTGACGAGATCGGTGTGGAAGAACTTGACTGGCCTGCACAGAGCCCTGACCTCAACCCCATCGAACACCTTTGCAATGAATTGGAACGCCGACTGAGAGCAAGGCCTAATTGCCCAACATCAGTGCCGACCTCACTAATGCTCTTGTGGCTGAATGGAAGCAAGTCCCCGCGTAAAAATCGTCTATCCTCGGTTTCAACACTCACTACCGAGTTCCAAACTGCCTCTGGAAGCATTGTCAGAACAATAACTGTTTGTCGGAAGCTTCATGAAATGGGTTTCCATTGCCGAGCAAAGATCACCATGCGCAACCTCACTAATGCTCTTGTGGCTGAATGGAAGCAAGTCCCCGCATCAACGTTCAAACATCTAGTGGAAAGCCTTCCCAGAGGAGTGGAGGCTGTTATAGCAGCAAAGGGGGGACTAACACCATATTAATGCCCATGATTTTGGAATGAGATGTTTGACGACCAGGTTTCCACATACTTTTGGTAATTTAGTGTATCTGTGTATGTTCTGACTGGACCATTTACATCCTAACAATGGAACCAACATTTTATGAATGAATCTATTACTTCCATTGAGAGCACTGGGGAGTGACTAAATCCCATGTGCTTCACAGATGTCACTCAGAGATTGAGTTATAGTCGCCCCACATTTATTAATTAATTTGAAATAAAAAGAAAGTCAAAGTTCGGTGAACCTGGCATTCCCAATGGGGTTTGCTTGTGTGTATGGTTTACAGTGAGCAAAGAGGGTGTAACCTAGCGTGTCAGCATCTCAACCACAGCAGAGAGGGGGAAAAGGGGGATATGGAATTACCTCGAGCTCCAAAGAGCCCAAACAGAGCCAAGTGCCTTGCGGATCACCTGCCATTGCTCAGCTGTTGCCCGGCTAATGTGTGCAAATGAGCAGGAATGTTTCCCCATCTCCTGTTCTGTGGATCCAGTGGCTCTTGCCCCTTTATGTGGAACCTATGGCCACCTTCCTGTTTCCCTCACTCAAGCCTCAATTGCTAGTATATGTTTACCCTATTTTCCTTCACAATCACTAACACTGGTATCTTTCTCTGTTCATTCATCCTGTCCCACCCTCTCTTCTCCTCTCTGCCCTACAGCATCGGCCTATGCGGACCTGCAGTGGGAGCAGCAGCCCAGGCAGGATGGGAGCCACCCACCTCAGGACTACCCTCACAGGGACCAGCCCCCATTGGCTGGCTACATCCCCCAGCCCGATTACATGGAGGGAGATGATGATCTCATCAAGCCCAAAAAGCTCCTTAATCCAGTGAAAGCCTCCAAAAGCCACCAGGACCTCCAACGAGAGTTGCTCATGAGCCAGAAAAGGTAGAACTCCCACCCAACAGAGTCCCATACAAAATATTGTTAAACTAACAGCTGATTGAGGTTATTATCCAGCAATCTAGCTATCAGTGTTTTCCAGTTATTACATGCTGTGCTTGTTTCCATGTGTATGCATCTGTGTGTGCACACAGGTCAACCTGACAAGGCATTCAGCATTCTAAGCCAAGCCCTCTGTAGTGTTTTGCATCACTAATACTCATATTGTATGAGAGGATGGATATTCCTACAGTAATGCCCCATTACAGATCCATATGATATGACATTAAAGGCACATACCATATCATGGCATTACAAAAATAAACAGATCCAGGATTACTCATAATCACAAAGTACCTAAACATGTATGGATTTACATAAAAGGAGAAGTACATTCTAAAACATACAGTGGGGAAAAAAAGTATTTAGTCAGCCACCAATTGTGCAAGTTCTCCCACTTAAAAAGATGAGAGAGGCCTGTAATTTTCATCATAGGTACACGTCAACTATGACAGACAAAATGAGAAAAAAAATTCCAGAAAATCACATTGTAGGATTTTTAATGAATTTATTTGCAAATTATGGTGGAAAATAAGTATTTGGTCAATAACAAAAGTTTCTCAATACTTTGTTATATACCCTTTGTTGGCAATGACACAGGTCAAACGTTTTCTGTAAGTCTTCACAAGGTTTTCACACACTGTTGCTGGTATTTTGTCCCATTCCTCCATCAATATCTCCTCTAGAGCAGTGATGTTTTGGGGCTGTCGCTGGGCAACACGGACTTTCAACTCCCTCCAACGATTTTCTATGGGGTTGAGATCTGGAGACTGGCTAGGCCACTCCAGGACCTTGAAATGCTTCTTACGAAGCCACTCCTTCGTTGCCCGGGCGGTGTGTTTGGGATCATTGTCATGCTGAAAGACCCAGCCACGTTTCATCTTCAATGCCCTTGCTGGTGGAAGGAGGTTTTCACTCAAAATCTCACGATACATGGCCCCATTCATTCTTTCCTTTACACGGATCAGTCGTCCTGGTCCCTTTGCAGAAAAACAGCCCCAAAGCATGATGTTTCCACCCCCATGCTTCACAGTAGGTATGGTGTTCTTTGGATGCAACTCAGCATTCTTTGTCCTCCAAACACGACGAGTTGAGTTTTTACCAAAAAGTTATATTTTGGTTTCATTTGACCATATGACATTCTCCCAATCCTCTTCTAGATCATCCAAATGCACTCTAGCAAACTTCAGACGGGCCTGGACATGTACTGGCTTAAGCAGGGGGACACGTCTGGTACTGCAGGATTTGAGTCCCTAGCGGCGTAGTGTGTTACTGATGGTAGGCTTTGTTACTTTGGTCCCAGCTCTCTGCAGGTCATTCACTATGTCCCCCGTGTGGTTCTGGGATTTTTGCTCACCGTTCTTGTGATCATTTTGACCCCAAGGGGTGAGATCTTGCATGGAGCCCCAGATCGAGGGATATTATCAGTGGTCTTGTATGTCTTCCATTACCTAATAATTGCTCCCACAGTTGATTTCTTTAAACCAAGCTGCTTACCTACTGCAGATTCAGTCATCCCAGCCTGGTGCAGGTCTACAATTTTGTTTCTGGTGTCCTTTGACAGCTCTTTGGTCTTGGCCATAGTGGAGTTTGGAGTGTGACTGTTTGAGGTTGTGGACAGGTGTCTTTTATACTGATAACAAGTAAAAACAGGTGCCATTAATACAGGTAACGAGTGGAGGACAGAGGAGCCTCTTAAAGAAGAAGTTACAGGTCTGTGAGAGCCAGAAATCTTGCTTGTTTGTAGGTGACCAAATACTTATTTTCCACCATAATTTGCAAATAAATTCATTAAAAATCCTACAATGTGATTTTCTGGATTTTTTTTCCTCAATTTGTCTGTCATAGTTGACGTGTACCTATGATGAAAATTACAGGCCTCTCTCATCTTTTTAAGTGGGAGAACTTGCACAATTGGTGGCTGACTAAATACTTTTTTCCCCACTGTAGATATCATTAGTCACGAAAGGTCAGATGACAACTGATCATATTGCTACAATGGTGTAATCCCACTTCTCAATTATATAAACCAAAGGTACTTTATTGTAACAACATAACAAACAGAAAGGATTGGGTTTAAAAAGGGTCATAATGATTTAAACAAAGTGTAACAGCATAGGCAACATTCCCATTTCTCCTCTCTCCCTCTCCTGACCAGAACCTCATACACTGCCCCTCCAAAATGCTTTCTGAAAGGGGTCTTGGTGATCCACTCACAACATAGGCTAGTAACTACACTTAAAAGTTGCCAAAATATTTAGTTCCTATGAAGCAGGATATTTTCAACATGCCAGGTTGGGTACACTCTTATAAAAAAGGTTTCCAAAAGGGTTCTTCGGCTGTCCCAATAGGATAACCCTTTTTGATTCAAGGTAGAACCCTTTTTGGTTCCATGTAAACCCTCTGTAGAAAGGGTTCAACATGGAACCCAAAAGGGTTAATCAAAGGGTTCTCCTATGGGGACAGTCGAATAACCCTTTAAGGTTCTAGGTAGCACCTTTTGAAGAACCCTTTTTTGTTCCAGGTAGACCCTTTTGCATAAAAACAAGTCGTCTATCGTTGAATGACAACACACACTTCATTGAAGAATCCCTAATGTTGACCAATGACCGACAAAGGAGCAAGGACAATATTTGTGGGCACGAACAGCTGTAAAAACCCTTGCCGAAGACCAAAACGAACAAAAACATCACAACATTTTCCAAACTGTTTCAGATGGGAAGCTTGTGGATGCCTTAAGGCATATAAAATAGCAACTACTCAAACAGGGCAGTGTTTTCTCTCCATTGAAACCTGTCGTCTGTCTGTCTCTCTCTCTTTCTCTCTCTCAACATTCAGATCTCTTTAATTAACAGGCCCATTAGAAGCCAGCTGTTGCTAGGTGACAACCCACCAAGATACTGTCCGTATCGCTGAGTTGTTGGGAACTGGGAAAATCCCCATGGCTCAAGCACTCCAACCCTCCTTGAGGGGACAGTGGGAACTCAAACCTTTAGGAGAGTGGGCAACAGAGGGCCTTTTATGCCCCTCCAGCCCTGCTGTTTTCTAGTGTTCCTCTTGTTTGTTTCATTATGCAGTTGGATTTTTATTTATAGTCATGGTTTTCAGTGATCATAAACATGAATCCAAATCTTCTCCAACATGCAAGAAGAATGTCATTATATAATGCCATAGAATGTCATAGAATGGGAACCCCATTCCCAGGAAGATAGAATGGGGCGCATGACGGTGAAATACCTCCCTTATCTGCTCTTCCCTTTCTGTAAACACTCTACAGTATGTTCATTTGTATGGTGTGTCTGACCTGTATCTGAACATGCTTACACTGTAGTGTTAGTCAGTTAATCAATTAGGTGCTAAATAGGTTATAATAACAACATCATCATACAGGAGAGCCAGACCAATCGGTCATAGCCCACTAGTCTAGCAGTACATAATTCACTGTAAAGCAAATCTGTTAAAAAAAGGACATGCATGTCTCACCTGCAGCCTCTCTTCTAGTAATATGACCCTTATTAAATATGTCCACCTTCCAGTGTTGATATGACAGAGAGTGGAAGAACCAGTACACTAAACCTGGAGTGTTCCTAGTGTGAGAAATGGGAAGAATATAAAAACATCTTTCCTCTGGGCTATGTAAGGTTATCTTTCACTGAACCTGCCTTTGGTGCTTCTGTCAATGTTCATCTAGAACAAACAGACCACCACATTGAGGGCCCATTTGTCCGTGATCAGCAGATTATTATATTTCTCTTGAGATGCACACATATGCATTAGCTTCTGCTTTTCTACAGGCAGGCAGGCAGATACTCAGAGGTTAGCTGGCATGGCACCATGCTTTCAATTAAGCATTTATCTGCAGGGCTTGGGTTGGCACTGCTACTGGTGCTAAGAGGGGTATGGCTGTGAGAGTCAAAGACCAGAAGAGGCAATCTGTGTTGGGCACCATGACAGAGAGAGCCCTAACAACGCTGGGAGATAAGCCACACCACTGAGGTGGGGGGTGCAGGAATTAGGTCATCAAACTGAACAGTCTCTCTCTCTAACTGATTGGTCTCCACTCTCTTTTCTCTAATTGCTTTTTCTCTCCTTCTCTCGTTCGCTCTCTTACTGTAGATAAGGCTTTTTGTATCATTGAGTGGCATTGATGGCTGGGAGATCTGAGGGGGTGGATGGAAGAGAAAAGAGGGACCAAAAAGCATGGACAACAACACACAGAGAGAGAAAACATGTTTGGGTTCAAATGTCACTCCAGTTCACAATGCTGTGTAGTTAGAAAGGAAACAGGAACCTATCTATGGATTTCTAAGCAGTGAGGAGGTATAGAGGAGTCAGTGGTCCCAGGGTCATGAGTATGGACGACAGAAACCAGAAAGTAATATAGTGGGCTCAGATATCAGCCCTTTTAATGTGCTATTCTTGCCCTGTGGTTGGCCAGCAAACTATACCTTCTATAGATTTCTTGTGGAAAATAGATTGTAGTCAATACTGGTAGTGTGTTTCTTTCATAAACAGGCTGCTGCTATTTACAGCAGTCTAGTAGTGTGTGTGTGTGTGTGCGTGTGAGAGTGTGCGTGTGCATGTGTGTGTCTGTGTGTGTGAGTGTGCATGTGCATGAGCGAGTGTGCGTGTACATGTGCATTTGTGCAGAGAAGAGGGTGAATGCTGATGAACACAGAATCACTCTATTTTAATCACCTCCATGTTTGTTTGTGTACACCTCCCTGACTTATTCGATGAGCACAGACAAAATTAATGAAAACACTAATCACACCTCCCATAGCAGCCCTCCCTCTCTCTGTCACATAATAAAAACCTGTGACTGCACCTCCCTAAGGAACAAGAAGGCACTACATTGATTTAATTAACAGTCTCACAGAGAAGAGGTGAGAGGAGGATTACGAAGAGACCCACTGTTTTGATTTATATTTGGTTGAGTTGTCAACGTGAAATCATCCAAAAATGTCACTGTGTCATTGGATTTAGTTTAAATGTTAAATCCACCTAGAAGTTGGATTTAGGTGAAAAAAAGACACAATTCCCTTATGTTGATGACTTTTTGCAAATCCAATAAGTTTTCCACGTTGATTCAACGTAATCACATTGAATTATTTGAGGTGAAATGACGTGGAAACAACATTGATTCAACCACTTTTTGCCCAGTGGAGAGTTCAACACCTATCTTATCCTGAGTGTAATAGCTTGTCACTCTGAAGATAGCTGATGTGGGATATCGAGGGTAGATATTGAATGAATTCTTTATCAGTTTTAGAGGCCACGTGCAGTGATTGAATGAATTCAAAGTAGATTAACAATTGAGAAGGATGGTATTCTTCCATCCTGATAGAACAAAAGTCCCACCACCAAGCCTCAGTCAGCAGTGTGATTCCTGCTGACTTTTTCTATCTAATTAGAAAAGAGGCTGCCAATTAATCTGAATGGATTGGCATCACCATAGAGATTCAGAGACACACACAGAAACACAGCTCGTGGATCACCAGTCCATAGCCCACTCATGTTAGGACTACAGGAGCATGTATCAGCAGGGAAATTAGCTTTAGGCTACTTCTATGTCTGCTAAACTGCAACATAATCTTTTCGTTATTTTTGTCATATTATTATAATAGAATCGTGAAAAAAATAAATGGTTGAGGATAGGATATCGCATGACAGAGCAAAATCTGAATTTAGCATTTAGCATGATAAGAGTGACATCTACTGGAAAAAAAAGAGGAAAACATTGAAGTTAAATTCAAATGCAGACGACCTTAGTAAATATCTTCTCTCCCTCGGGCTCAAAGGGGTTGTGTTGTTGGTGTGGAGTCTAAGCCGGAGCTGCAGCGCGTGTTGGAGGCCAGGAAGAGGGAAAAAATGATCAAGCAGAGGAAGGAAGAAGATGAGGCCAGAAAGAAGATCTCTCCTCTGGAACAAGAGCTCCTCAAGAGGAAGGAGAAGCTAGAAGAGGTAGGAGGAATCATCAAATCAAATCAAATCAAATGTTATTGGTCACATGCGCCGAATACAACAGGTGCAGACATTACAGTGAAATGCTTACTTACAGCCCTTAACCAACAGTGCATTTATTTTAAACAAAAAAAGTAAAAATAAAACAACAACAAAAAAAGTGTTGAGAAAAAAAAGAGCAGAAGTAAAATAAAATAACAGTAGGGAGGCTATATATACAGGGGGGTACCGTTGCAGAGTCAATGTGCGGGGGCCAGGGGCGGTGTGTTCATTAGGGCGATATGGGCGACGCACTGCCAAACGGGAAAAGGAAGGGATTTTTTTTCTAATCAATTATATCACGGCAACAGTAGTTATCAGTGTTCTAATCTAGACGTCTGATCTGCCACTAAATGTCCAATCAGGCTAAAGTCGTGCTTCAAATGGCCCCGGCCCTTTTGGGGCGATTTCAGTCAGGTTGAAAATCGCCCCAGAAGTCTCTTTTTTTTTTCAAATATCAGAGCTTTCAATACAATCTCTATGGGTTCCAGGAGGGCTTGCACTTACGCGCTTTCGTCATACGTAACATAACCATGAACGTAACTAAGAAAAGAGCGGGTAGCAGCGTCAATCAATTCACGTACTACTGTCAAGATGGCTAGCGTTCAGTGCAACTCGATTGTCTCTTTGAAAGAAGTTCCTTTTTGTCGGCGAACAAATCAAGATAAATTGGCAACGAAACAATTAGGACCTCCCAGACCAAATTTAATAATTCAACAGGTTTCTACTAAAGGGGGAAAGTCCTACACCCGAGGATTTTCCAAAAATTGGTACGAACGAAAAACCTGGCTAGCAGGCTGCGATGTAGCTAATGTAGTCTTCTGCTACCCCTGCTTACTCTTTCACCCTGAAGGCGGCACGGCAGACAGCACCGCTTGGACAGCGACTGGTGTAACGGACATGCACCATCTTTCAGAAAAGATTAAGAAACATGAGCTGTCAAAGACCCACATGGATAGCTGTTTGAGATTGTCTGCTTTGGGGAGAGTGAACATTGCCACTCAACTGGATGAGGGATACAGGCTAGCTGTCCGCCGCCACAACGATGAGGTTAGCAAGAACCGCCACATCCTCAGCCGGCTAATCCAGTGTGTGAAGTTTTGCGGAGTGTTTGAGTTAGCTTTGCGAGGCAAAGATGAAACTGAGGGCTCCACCAACCCTGGTATTTTTCTTGGACTTGTCAACTTTGTGGCACAATTAGATGAGGTGTTTTATGGAAATGCATATTGTTTATGCAGTGTTGAGGAATGTGAAAAAACACCCTTGATTATTTTTACTGTGATAACTTATTTTGCTTTTGTAAGCCAACACTTTTGAGATCAGTCAATAAATGCTTCTGGTATTGACTTATATGCTGCCCCTGTCTTCATGTTGTTGCTGGACATATCTTTTTTAAAATGTGTGTAGGTCACCTAAATCATCAGAAAAATTGCCCCCCCTGAGAATTTTTTCAGGAGCCGCCACTGGCGGGGGCACCGGCTAGTTGAGGTAGTTGAGGTAATATGTACATGTGGGTAGAGTTAAAGTGACTATGCATAAATAATTAACAGAGTAGCAGCAGCGTAAAAAGGATGGGGTGGGGGGGCAGTGCAAATAGTCCGGGTAGCCATGATTAGCTGTTCAGGAGTCTTATGGCTTGGGGGTAGAAGCTGTTGAGAAGTCTTTTGGACCTAGACTTGGCACTCCGGTACCGCTTGCCGTGCGGTAGCAGAGAGAACAGTCTATGACTAGGGTGGCTGGAGTCTTTGACAATTTTGAGGGCAATACAATTATATTGCTATAGAGCATTTTATAAATGCTTCAGTCATAAATTGATTGAATAAACTCCCTTTTGTTTCTGATTCAGTTGGAGAAGGAGCAGGAAAAACAAGAGGAGGAGACAGTGAAAGCCCCAGAGTTTGTCAAGGTCAAGGAGAACTTGAGACGGACGTCCTTTCACAGTAATGGAGAGAAAGAGGTGTAGCGACAAACCGGTCCAGGTATACCATTGAGTTGGAATCTGCTGCTGGAGTTTGTGTATTATGCACGTGAGTGGACACAGAACTGCTGTGATGTGTTGCTCTGACTGCACAACTCAAGACCATAGCAAGGAACTTCTACCTGTTACAAGGACTAGTCGACAAGCCATGACACAATGCCTTCACTATCCTACTCAGAGCAGAAACACAGAGAGAGAGAGAGACAGAGAAGGAAGGTTGACTCTGCATTGGGCTACTGTTACAGTCAGTAACATAGGCCAAACTACAGCTGTGACATCTCAATCCAGAGTAACTGACATGATAGTGTGAGGGTCAAAGAGGGGTGCAGCTATTCACTAGTGGACGTACTGTTCCGTACTGCAAGGACTCTAGAAATGAAGCCAAGGTGGGTGTTCTTCGCCAATGTGTCACAGCAGTGGTTACTTTTCATCTTAAGCTGTGTATTTCCAAGAGTCATTCTCTAGGATACAGTATAAGAAGCACACTGTACCGGTACATACAATCAATCCAGATTGTTAACAGGAAACAATCCAATTTGCCTAATGGCACATTCATAATCTACTCATGCAATTTAAGGTCACGTATCTCAATGTGAAATCTCTCACTGAGAAAGTTCCTATCTCTAACAGTGCCTTCCTAGTTCTAGTTGCATGTCATCCTAATCAAAAAGTTCAAACCAAGGAACGCATCATTATGAAACTGTATACTATGAATAATTTAATGTAATCTGAGGCATCATATAGAGTATTTGTACAGTAAGTGTGAGTACATGTTGCAGAGACACAAGAGGCACAGATATTTATATTATCTCCAACCCTATCTAACCTTTTTTTTTTCATAACATTTACATGTTTTGGAAAGTGAAATTTACGTTTTGTGCTGAAGGTGTGAGACCAGGTAGATATTCTCACATTTGTAATTGTTTCACAGCTCTTTTTAAATAGTATTATGTAGCGATACACAATTAAATGCAATCAGTTGAATAATTTTATTTAAATAAGGCACTTTAGAAATTGAAAATATGTATCTGAATATGATTTATAGTGATCAATTATGAATTAGTCATTTTTTAAATACTGTCTTTTTTAAATCCAATGATTAAGTTTTAATATGTTTTTATCCAGATTGCGTATAGATGACCATTTGTATTTTGGTGTTTTTTTGCACCACATATTGTTCTCTGCCTTTACTGACTCCTGAAGCCACTCATGATGTTTAATGGTATAAAACTGTATATGTTATAAACATGAAGACATTACTTCTCATTTATTTTTCAATCTTTTCATTGCATAAAAGCATGACCATATTAATGTACGATTATTTCAATAGCTTTTAAAATAGGACTTTTGATTGTTATTATCTGACAAGGGAGGTACAAACACCTGAAGTAAGATTGCTTTTCTTTCTAAGAAAATAAATAAAGGACTAACACTGCATTAATAGTAGCACTGTGACCATTCATTTGGTCTGAGAATGTCTAGACTCATTGGTAGTTTATTGAATGCTGTTGAAGAACACATTCATATTTGGTGAGCTACAGTGCCTTGCAAAAGTATTCATCCCCCTTGGCGTTTTTCCTATTTTGTTGCATTACAACCTGTAATTTAAATTGATTTTTATTTGGATTTCATGTAATGGACATACACAAAACAGTCCAAATTGGTGAAGTGAAATGAAAAGAATAACTTGTTTCAAAAAAATATAAAAAATAAATAACGGAAAAGTGGTGTGTGCATATGCATTCACCCCCTTTGCAATGAAGCCCCTAATAAGATCTGGTGCAACCAATTATCTTCAGAAGTCACATAATTAGTTAAATAAAGTCCACCTGTCTGCAATCTAAGTGTCACATGATCTGTCACATGATCTCAGTATATATACACCAGTTCTGAAAGGCCCCAGAGTCTGCAACACCACTAAGCAAGGGGCACCTCCAAGCAAGCGGCACCATAAAGACCAAGGAGCTCTCCACAACAAACCTGCCAAGAGAGGGCCACCCACCAAAACTCACGGACCAGGCAAGGAGGGCATTAATCAGAGAGGCAACAAAGAGACCAAAGATAACCCTGAAGGAGCTCCACAGCGGAGATTGGAGTATCTGTCCATAGGACCACTTTAAGCCGTATACTCCACAGAGCTGGGCTTTAAAGAAGAGTGGCCGCCAGAAAAAAGCAATTTCTTGAAAATAAATAAATAAGCAAACACGTTTGGTGTTCGCCAAAAGGTATGTGGGAGACTCCCCAAACATATGGAAGAAGGTACTCTGGTCAGATAAGACTAAAATTGAGCTTTTTGGCCATCAAGGAAAATGCGCAAACCCAACACCTCTCATCACCCCGAGAACAAACCAGTGAAGCATGGTGGTGGCAGCATCATGCTGTGGGGATGTTTTTCATCGACAGGGACTGGGAAACTCGTCAGAATTGAAGGAATGATGAATGGCGTTAAATACAGGGAAATTCTTGAGGGAAACCTGTTTCAGTCTTCCAGAGATTTGAGACTGGGACGGAGGTTCACCTTCCAACAGGACAATGACACTAAGCATACTGCTAAAGCAACACTCGAGTGGTTTAAGGGGAAACATTTAAATGTCTTGGAATGGCCTAGTCAAAGCTCAGACCTCAATCCAATTGAGAAACTGTGTTATGACTTAAAGATTAAACAGCTGAACCCATCCAACTTGAAGGAGCTGCAGAAATTTTGCCTTGAAGAATGGGTAAAAATCCCAGTGGCTAGATATGCCAAGCTTATAGAGACATACCCCCAAGAAACGTGCAGCTGTAATTGCTGCAAAAGGTGGCTCTACAAAGTATTGACTTTGGGGGGGGTGAATAGTTATGCACGCTCATGTTTTCTGTTTTTATGTCTTATTTGTTGTTTGTTTCACAAGAAAAAATATTTTGCATCTTCAAAGTGGTAGGCATGTTGTGTAAATCAAATGATACAAACCCCCAAAAAATAGGAACAAGGCAACAAAATAGGAAAAATGCCAAGGGGGGTGAATACTTTCGCAAGCCACTGTAAGTTACATAAACAAACACACCACTGATCCAGCCTTCTAACATCATGGCTGAAAGTTCTAGAAAACAAAGTTCCATTAGTATGCATCAGTAAGTTTGCAACAGCGTATCGAGTTTAGTGTCCCTATTGGGTCCATTTAGGGAGAGCCAGGAAGCTGTCTATTGTGCCAAACAACCAGAACAAAGTGCACTCACTACAGTGCCACTTCCCATGGAATGTTACAAACCAGAAAGTGAGATGCTGAGCAACATGGTCAAGGCTGGAATTCTGGATCGGTGACACCTGAACAGGTAAACAAACCAAAGCCTGGGAGTGAGTAGCGAAGCCTTCATTAAGATAGGAAGATGGTGGCTGTACCAAGTACATTGTCACTGAAATTCTAAAGATGTGTAAGTCTGTGACATTTCAGTTTGGGTTTGGAGCTGTCAATGTAATCAAATCAAATCAAATCAATTTGTACTTGCCACATGCGCCGAATACAACAGGTGTAGACCTTAATGTGAAATGCTTACTTACAAGCCCTTAACCAACAATGCAGTTTCAAGAAAAAAAGTGTTAAGTAAAAAATTGATAAGTAAAAAATAAAAAATAAAAATAATTAAAGAGCAGCAGTAAAATAAAATAACAGTAGGGAGGCTATATACAGGGGGTACCGGTACAGAGTCAATGTGCGGGGGCACCGGTTAGTCGAGGTAATATGTACATGTGGGTAGAGTTAAAGTGACTATGCATAGATAATAAAAAGAGTATCAGCAGCGTAAAAGAGGGGGGCAACGCAAATAGTCTGGGTAGCCATGATTAGCTGTTCAAAAGTCTTATGGCTTGGGGGTAGAAGCTGTTAAGAAGCCTTTTGGACCTAGACTTGGCACTCCGGTACCGCTTGCCATGCGGTAGCAGAGAGAACAGTCTATGACTAGGGTGGCTGGAGTCCTTGACAATTTTTAGGGCCTTCCTCTGACACCGCCTGGTATAGAGGTCCTGGATGGCAGGAAGCTTGGCCCCAGTGATGTACTGGGCCGTACGCACTACCCTCTTTAGTGCCTTGCGGTCGAAGGCCAAGCAGTTGCCATACCAGGCGGTGAGGCAACCAGTCAGGATGCTCTCGATGGTGCAGTTGTAGAGCTTTCTGAGGATCTGAGGACCCATGCCAAATCTTTTCAGTCTCCTGAGAGGGAATAGGCTTTGTCGTGCTCTCTTCACGACTGTCTTGGTGTGTTTGGACCATGATAGTTTGTTGGTGATGTGGACACCAAGGAACTTGAAGCTCTCAACGTGTTCCACCACAGCCCCGTCGATGAGAATGGGGGCGTGCTCAGTCCTCAGTCCTTTTCCTGTAGTCCACAATCATCTCCTTTGTCTTGATTACGTTGAGGGAGAGGTTGTTACCCTGGCACCACACAGCCAGGTCTCTGACCTCTTCCCTATAGGCTGTCTCATTGTTGTCTGTGATCAGGCCTACCACTGTTCTGTCGTCGGCAAACTTAATGATGGTGTTGGAGTCGTGCCTGGCCATGCAGTCATAGATGAACAGGGAGTACAGGAGGGGACAGAGGACGCACCCCTGAGGGGCCCCCGTGTTGAGGATCAGCGTGGCAGATGTGCTGTTACCTACCCTTACCACCTGGGAGCGGCCCGTCAGGAAGTCCAGGATCCAGTTGCAGAGGGAGGTGTTTAGTCCCAGGGTCCTTAGCTTAGTGATGAGCTTTGATTATCTTAGTGTTCTTGGGCACAGGGAATATGGTGGTCTGCTTGAAACATGTTGGTATTACAGACTCAGTCAGGGACATGTTGAAAATGTCAGTGAAGACACTTGCCAGTTGGTCAGCGCATGCTCGGAGTACACGTCCTGGTAATCCATCTGGCCTGCAGCCTTGTGAATGTTGACTTGCTTAAAAGTCTTACTCACATCGGCTACGGAGAGTATGATCACATAGTCATCCGGAACAGCGGATGCTCTCATGCATGCTTCAGTGTTACTTGCCTCGAAGCGAGCATAGAAGTGATTTAGCTCGTCTGGTAAGCTCCTGTCCTGGGCATCTCGCGGCTGTGCTTCCCTTTGTAGTCTGTAATAGTTTGCAAGCCCTGCCACATCCGACGAGCTTCGGAGCCGGTGTAGTACGATTCAATCTTAGTCCTGTATTGACTCTTTGTCTGTTTGATGGTTCGTCGGAGGGCATAGCGGGATTTCTTATAAGCGTCCGGGTTAGAGTCCCGCTCCTTGAAAGCGGCAGCTCTACCCTTTAGCTCAGTGCGGATGTTGCCTGTAATCCATGGCTTCTGGTTGGGGTATATACGTACAGTCACTGTGGGGATGACGTCATCGATGCACTTATTGATGAAGCCAGTGACTGATGTGGTGTACTCCTCAATGCCATCGGAAGAATCCCGGAACATATTCCAGTTTGTGGTAGCAATACAGTCCTGTAACTTAGCATCTGTGTCATCTGACCACTTCCTTATTAACCGAGTCACTGGTGCTTCCTTCTTTAGTGTTTGCTTATAAGCAGGAATCAGGAGGATAGAATTATGGTCAGATTTGCCAAATGGAAGGTGAGGGAGAGCTTTGTGTGTGGAGTAGAGTTTATTTTCCTCTGGTTGCACATTTAACATGCTGGTAGAAATTAGGTAGAACGGATTTAAGTTTCCCTGCATTTAAGTCCCCAGCTACTAGTAAGCGCTGCTTCTGGATGAGCGTTTTCCTGTTTGCTTATGGCCTTAAACAGCTCATTGAGTGCAATCTTAGTGCCAGCATTGGTTTGTGGTGGTAAATAAACATCTATGAAAAATATAGAAGTAAACTCTCTTGGTAAATAGTGTGGTCTACATCTTATCATGAGATACTCTACCTCAGGCGAGCAAAACCTTGAGACTTCCTTAGAATTAGATTTTATTCACCAGCTGTTGTTTACAAATATACACAGACCGCCACCCCTTGTCTTACCGGTGTCAGCCGTTCTATCCTGCCGATGTAACGTTCACCCACGACTCGGTGAAACATAAGATATTACCGATTTTAATGTCCCGTTGGTAGGATATCCTTGATTTTAGGTCATCCATTTTTGTTTTCAAATGATTGTACGTTGGCTAATAGGATTGATGGAAGAGGCAGATTACTTGCTCGCCGTCGGATCGTTACAAGGCACCCCGACCTATGTCCATGATATCTCTGTCTCTTTCTCATGCGAATGACAGGGATTTGGGCCTTGTCGGGTGTCTGTAGAATATCCTTTGCGTCCGACTCGTTGAAGAAAACATCTTTGTCCAATACGAGGTGAGTAATCTCTGTCCTGATATCCAGAAGCTCTTTTTGGTCATAAGAGACGGTGGCAGAAACATTATGTACAGAATAAATTACAAATAACGCGAAAAAACACACATAATAGCACAATTGGTTAGAGGGCCGTAAAATGGCAGCCATCTCCTCCAGCGCCATCTTGACCAACTTTGACCAACCATGCAAATTCTCCAAGGTATCAAATAGAATGGTTTCATGAGAGTAGGATTTTTGCCCTGAGAGAATAGTGAAATGCACGAGAGAATGATTCAGACTCAGTCCCTGACCTAAGAATACTCGATGGCTATGAGTAATGGTTTTGTTAACACAGAGTCTAAGGCCTGTCTAAGCCGGGGGGAATTGTTTTAAGAAAGTCACATCAAGGATCAACTAGCTATTCTATCTCAAGGCAATCAGACTGTTAAATAGCCATCACTAGCACATTAGAGGCTGCTGTTGCTTATTGAAATCACTGGCCACTTTAAGAAATAGAACACTAGTCACTTTAATAATGTTTACATATCTTGCACTACTCATCTCATATGTATATACTGTATTCTATAATATTTTACTGTATCTTAGTCCATGCAGCTCTGTCATTGCTTGTCCATATTTGTATATATTCTTAAATTCCATTCCTTACTTAGATTTGTGTGTATTGGGTATATGTTGTGAAATTTTTAGATATTACTTGTTAGATATTACTGCACTGTCGGAGCTAGAAGCACAAGCATTTTGCTACACCCGCAATAACATCTGCTAAAACACGTGTATGTGACAAATACAATTTGATTTGATTTGATTTGGAATTTTAAGACCTCTTGAAGTATAAAAAACATATATACAAAATTATTTGATTAACATTTTTATTTGGCCTTACTGCTATTAGCCCATTCAAACACATTGAATAACAGATTTACTACATGGAACAACAGATAGTCCCCCAAAAAAATCAAAAGGAAGTATCTGTCCTATATCTGAGAGATACAAGAAAGATTAGGAAACATTTGTTATGTTTTTTTTTTCGTATTTTTTTTCTTTACATGTATTTAACCCCTTATTTTTGGCACTAAACAGTCTCCATGTATACTTCCATTAATATTTTCAACTTATACCAGGGGACCTTCAGATGAATCTTGTGAGGCCTGTGGGCATCCTAGTGACATGTACGTGGGCGTCCAACTGATATGTACGTGTTCGTGAGATTCTCACCTTTCCATAGAGGGGTCATAATAGTTTGGATGCTACAGACAATTTTGTGAGAAGACCGATTTTCGAGATGTCTCATGGTCTGACAAACACTGCTCTAGCTCTGTCACCTTTCACCGCAGATGCGGAAGTGCGATATCGGCGGATGCGGTTGATTAAGATGCATCCAATGCAAAAAAACATATCTCTAGCGTAAACTGACAGATTTTTCTGGGGATTTTTTTATTATGCTAATTATATCGACTAGGGGGTTTGTTAAGCATTGCGAGACACCATTAGACATAGTCCCCTGTGCCCTCACTAAATTCTTTGGCCCCTTAATTATGGGGGTAGAGTAATGCAACACTGCAGCACAAGAAGACTCTTTGTCCTCAAACCACTATCAACCTCCCGTGTGCTTAATCCTAAAGAATCTTCAGGATCCAATTTGTAGTGCTCCGCTACACAGGAGCCAAATTGTTTCAATGTTGCCTTGGTGAAGCTGAACTGAAGGGTACAGCGAACGGAAGACCTATAATGAAAGTGCCCACATTCAGTCCTGACTCCAGTCCTGAGTAATAGCTGAGTAATAGAAATCAACTTGCTATTCTTTACAAAGCGGCTAAATACAGCAGTGGAAGTATCCTATTTTATATTATACTGTAGAAACCGATAACTACCGATAAGCTCAGCCAGATAAGCAAGTTCTACTTTTTAAATGCAAAGACAGAAATATGCTACTTACAACTAGCCGATAACTAACGATAAGCTCAACCAGAAAAGCAAATTCTACTTTTTAAATGCAACGACAGAAATAAGTTACTTACAACTAGCCTGTGTCATAACTGGTATGGCGATGGAGATTTGCATGGATACACACCATGTTACATTTGTGTCTGCTCTTCAGTTTGTTTAGTGCAGTATTGTGTGATTGTTTAAATATATTTTTCCTTATTAAACAAGCTAATTTGACCTGAAACTAAGCTGCTCGTGGCACATCCACAGGTAAATGCTTAGAAATAGAGCACCCTCTTTGGCCCTGTTCCACCTGTCTAGAGTCTACACAGACACACACACACACACACACACACACACACACACACACACAATGAACGGTGTTGTTGAGGTGCTTGGGGGGCGTGGTGTTTTCTCAGGTAACATACAAATAGCTAGGGCTTTTAGGGGCATTGCACTTTGCTTGTTGAGAGGCAATGGGGCTGCGAATGGATATTGCTGTGCCACTGCTGGCTATGGTACTCATGACCTACATCTGTGAAGCAGGTAAGAGTCCATATATTATGTGTATTATAAGTATCTTTAAACCCCTAAACTGGAGGCAGCTCAGTTGCAGGTGTTTCAAGAGCACTCAGGTAGTACTGAATAGAAAAAAAATAATGGAATTTGTAATTGGATTGCCACAAAGCACTTTATAATGGCTATACAAGTATGTTATTTTAACATCTGTCTCTCTGTAAGACTCAAAGCTGGTGATCCATATCAAAGTGATGGTGTTGCAAGGATTTAAAAAAAACAAAGAAATGCTGTGGAGTAAAAATTGACTCATATTTGATTTAATATTTTTTGACTTGGTTCTATCACTATTATCACTATTGTCATCAGGTATTACATTTGACATTGCTATTTTAGTTACTTAGGACATTATTCCTATGTGCGTTAAAGTACTGTGTGTTAGTGCAAATATTCCTCTGTGGGTTTTTTGTTGTTTTTGTAGCTCTGCTGAGGAAATCCACAGCAGCTAACTTCCTGAGACCAGTGAGAGAGAAGCGTGCTGCAGAGTGTTTCCCTGCAGGCTGCAGCATGGAGGACAGTGAGGCTGAGGAGCTACTGGAGGCCAACTCACACTACGTGAGTTCAAACTGGCAGACACACACTGGAGTATAGACAGAACATATGGGTCAGTCATACTTATAGTATTGCTCAAATTCACGTTACAGTGTTCCTCCTTTTAGGATGGCTAAGTCAAAGCTAGAACTGATTCAATCTGTTTCAGCGAACTTGGTCTCTCCTAAAAAAAAGTATCACTATATATGGGCCATAGACTGTGAAACACTGCTCTGTAAGTTGATCCTCCAGGGCAGTGGTGCATCTACCACTACCGCACTCTGGCATACAAGGGAACAAAGACAGGTCAGGACATTGACCCTGACGTTGTTATCTGTTTCATTTGCACCAACCTGAAATATCACATTTCTAGTATGAGAACTGTTGCTAGTCCTGAACTTGAACAACTGTGGCTAACTCACCAACAGACAGAAATAATATGCAGTACTTTATATTTTGTAAAACAGTAAAGCCATCTACGTGTAACACAATTGGTGAGGATTACATGACTTTCTGAATTCGCAGAAGGACAGTTCAAAGATGCTGTTGAATGTCGGCACTGGGGCAGGGGTGAACTCGGTAAGTTCCAAGTTTTCCAAGTGTTTATGGAAAACAAGGTGCACAGTCCATAATATTTTCTTTTCTGTGTCTTGTTTTCAGAGCCCTGGTAGTGAGGCTACGGTGGAGGAAGGCTCAGGGATGTAGCCCTGGGATGTACTGTAGCATCATCAGGCCAACGCCAGGAGAGCTGGAGCAGACAGACAGGAGAAGCCTGGGTCTTATCTATAATGAATGACAAAATGCAAGGCCAGATATTATTAATCATTATCTCATGGGGTGGGGGGAATTATAAAAACTTTAAATACTGGAAATATAGAATTCCAAGGTCTTTGTGAAAGAAGGATTTTATTATAATATTGTTATTCTCTCTGCTTTGTCAAACCATTTGATTTATGATTTGTGAGTCTTCCTAAGATTTGTTTCACAGTATTTCTTGATTTTTAACAAAAAAACGTCTAACACTTATTCTATTAGTTAAAGGATAATATAATTGCCTACATTCTTATTGGTGCTTTGTAAGAATGGTGCTCAGTATTTCATTTAGCTAATTATCTTCGTAGCATCATAGATCTTAAACTGCATAGGTACAGTACTTTATAAGCCATGAATTGTCCAAAGGAAATATTTCCCACTTTGACAGTTAACAGTGGTAAAACTTGAACTATGAGAGGTAATTTAAGTTGATATACTAAATGATATTATGTGGTGCAATGGAAAATATTTGTATAATATTTTGACAATGTACTTTTTGAAGATTTGCAAACAACTCATTTTACAATATTTATTTGTAATGTGCCTACTCCCAAGTCAAATAGTATAGGGAATTATCCCTGACCTGTATTACCTGTATTTAAATATCCAACTTACTGATTTAGAAATATATAGGCAGGCCTACTTTTTAAATGTCTGTGTAAATATCTAAATAAATGCATATTTTAATCAATTGTTGTTAGATATCATTTGTATACGTGGTGTCCAAGCCATTACCAAAGTAGATTGGGGGAATTAAATTGTGTGCTATTAAGTGTGAGGCAATATTATTTCACATGAAGAGATCAATGGAAACAGCTATGAAAGCCTGTAAAGAGGATACATAAACAGATATCTGCAATATAGAATGAACCATCAGTACACCTGGGAAGACAAAATGTTGTTTTGACAAATGTGTAAATCTGAACAATCTGTGTATATCAAGACTCTGCTTCCCTCCTAAGGCAAAATATGAAACCATGCTTAGAACCATGACCCAGAAAAGAACCTCACAGATTACTGATTAGATAGAATTACTATCCAAAACAACATATGCATGTAATCTTCATGTAAGAGATCACTCATTCACAGTGGAAATTCCTTTTCCTACCAGGAGAGAGAAACTGCATGTGAATCTAATTATATCTGCACCTGTCCATTGTCATCCCCAGCTCTGGCATCTCAGTGAGAGCATGTTGACAAGGGGTGGCTGGGCTGGGCCATACAAGGCTATCAGGGAGAACTACGGTATGGACACCTGACACTGTGTTCTGACACTGTTCCTACCTGTCCCTGGTGAGATGTTGTTAGGAGAAGCCAAGCAGGGAAGTATGGAGGCCTGTCAGCTGTACCGTGGGAGAAGAAACGCTCCAGCGAGTCGGAAAATTGATCAAGTCCAGAGCTGGGCTGGGGAAAGGAATGGGAGAGGGGTTGTAAGGAACACCAGAAAAACAAACAGGACACACAAAAGGTACTTTGATTTTCTATAATGTAAACTGCTGGAACTATTGTTAGCCCTCTGCTTTAGTGAGTTAGGGTATTAGTCCCATGAGATAAACATTTAAAATACAGTAATATGGACCGGAGCACTAAAAAGGACGTTGTACAATCGTTTTCTAAGTACTCTTATTGTTCTGCAAGATCTTTTCATGCTCAATGTCATAAAGCAAAAGTAAACTTTATTTTGCTATGGCTCCAGAAGAACCAATGGATGAATGTGACTGACTGGGTTCAAACCAAGGTCTCCTATGCACAACAAACATTGGGCTCGTTTGAGTGGTAAGGCTGAAGCAACCGACTGCAGACGAAAGTCGAAGAGTAAAGTTGGGGGAGGTGCATCTGCAACAGGAAAAATGCAACATGGCAGTGTTGCCGTTGTTTATAAATGTTTTTCTTTGTAATGTCAAAACCCCCATATTACACACTCACAAACTGTTAATATATGTGTGTACATTGTACTATGAATTCAATTGGTGAGCGAGCCTCAAATATCACATAAAGTTGTACATTGAAGTCAACACATGAATTGAGGCAAAGTTGGTTACCGTTTCAGTCATGTCTTTGGTCACGCTCGCGTGGGTCAAACAAAAACAACCTGTATAGAGCCTCCCACAGTTAATGAATAGCAACTGCAGAAACTTGCAGTCAACTGCAGTCAAAACTTCATGACCTTAGATCACATGGTTTTTGTAAAGTTTATGCAGTCATCATGTAGACAGAAGTTGACCATTTTTATCCCCATAATGCAACACACTTTGGAAGGCAGTGACCGACTTGACAAAAGTGATCCACTTGAACGCGCCCTTTGTTAGACTGCTGAGCAAAAGTCTAGGGCCTAGATTCAATCAGATTAAGCGGTGTTGGTGGTGGAACTGCATTGGAGCAGTCAAATCGGTGAGCAGCTGCTCTTGTGATCGTTGTCACAAAGCCACACCTGCCCCACTCGCATTAGAAGTTCAGAACGAGAAAGTGTAGGCTATATAGAAATAAATATGCTCAAATTAAAAAATCAGTAGAACTAAATAATGAGGATTTCTATCATCTTAATCGAGGTGTACATTACATCTCTCATTCCAGTGTTCAAACTTGTAAACAAGGCTGCATGGGATTTCTGTTAATGTGACTCCGTGCAGCAAATGGCAATGTCTGCTTTAGGTATAATGCCGGTAGCCACTTGTGGATTTGACAGCTCTAATGCAGTTCCACCTCTGACACCGCCAAAACAACTGCTATGCGGATGTTGGCTAAAGCGGATCTGATTGAATCAAGCCCTAGCCCTAACTGTGGGTGTGTTCGAGCGGTAAGCCTAACGAAGCCGACTGTAAACGAAAGTCAGCGAGTGAAGTCGGGGGAGTTGCATCTGCGATCAACATGGCAGTGTCAACATAGCTGCTAATGTTATAAAGGTTTTTCTTCATAAATGTCAAAATTAACTTTTCTGTACTCGCCTATATCACAAACTGAAAACATAACGTGTTATATAACATTTTATATATTTTTTCCTCCTGATATTGTATGATCTGTGTGTCGCTCCATTGGCCTGGGCTATTGTTCCACAACGTTGACATCAGCAAAACGCTCGCCCACACGACGCCATATACGCTGTCTGCCATCTGCCCGGTACAGTTGAAACCGGGATTAATTCGTGAAGAGCACACTTCTCCAGCATGCCATTGGCCATTGAAGGTGAGCATTTGCCCAATGAAGTTGGTTTCAATGCCAAACTGCAGTCAGGTCAAGACCCTTGTGAGGACGACGTGCACGCAGATGAGCTTCCCTGAGACGGTTTATGACAGATTGTGCAGAAATTCTACGGTTATGCAAACCCACAGTTTCATCAGCTGTCCGGGTGGTTGGTCTCAGACGATCCCGCAGGTGAAGAAGCCGAATGTGGAGGTCCTGGGTTGGCGTGGATACATGTGGTCTGCGGTTGTGAGGCCGGTTGGACGTACTACCAAATTCTCTAAAATGTTGTTGGAGGCGGCATATGGTAGAGAAATGAACATTAAATTATCTGGCAACAGATCTGGTGGACATTCGTGCAGTTAGCATGTCAATTGCATGCTCCCTCAAAACTTCATCTGTGGCATTGTGTTGTGTGACAAAAGTGCAAATTTTAGGGTGGCCACCTATTGTCCCCAGCACAAGGTGCACCTGTGTAAAGATCATGCTGTTTAATCAGCTTCTTGATCTGCCACACCTGTCAGGTGGATGGATTATCTTGGCAAAGGAGAAATGCTCACTAACAGGGATGTAAACTAATTTGTGCACAACATTTGAGAGAAATAAGCTTTTTGTGCGTATGGAAAATGTCAGGGATTTTTTTATTTCAGCTCATGAAACATGTGACCAACACTTTACATGTTGCGTTTCTATTTTTGTTCAGTAAATTAATTCATGGTTAGATCAGAATCACTGTCATAAGCATTGGCCTGTACAGAGAATTAAGTGAAAACCACAAGTCTAAATCCCCATCTCCATCCATGGCTTAGGAAAGGGTCGATTTAGCAAGCTAGCTACTGCAGGACCTCAACACAAGCAGACCAGAAAGAGACGTTTCTCTGATGATTACATTTTGCCCAGGATTATATTTGATTGGTGTGAAGCCAAATCCAAACTGGCCTCCCTTGGGAGGTGTTTTGCTGCTGCAACCCATATATATTTTTTATTTTTTATCAAGGGAAGCCAAATGCTTGCTGGCATCAATCAATCAAATGCTAGGGCGGCAACATGCCATACTGTTTTGTTCCAGACAGCAACAGAGACATGGGCAACACATACTGAGACAGAGGGGCGCTGTTTCCCTCGCTCTGATTATTTCTCTGGTGAGATTCAGCCACTTGAGAATTGACAGAAAATTATGATAACACAGAGAAATGAAAGATAATGATTATATACTTTTTATTTTCGTATTGGTAAAATATTTGGGGAAGCCTGGCTTCCCTTGGCATCAATGATACACGCCACTGATGCCACATCGCAAATGTTATTGTGGCTTTATTATAAAGGGCCTTTTTCTTCAACAGTAAATTTAACACGCACTAAATTGCATCTTTGTGCATCGATTTGTTTACAGAAAATGAAGGTGTGCTGGGAAGGGCGGAATCCTATGAAAACCCAGAGCCCTGGCACCTATGATTTCTTAATCCAGCCCTGGTCAGGTGTTAGTAAAATTATCAATGCCCCTGCCCCTGAGAGAAATAAGGAGCAGAGGCTATCCTGGCGGTGCTCTGTTTTTACCACTAAATTACATCCTTAAGAAAATATTGTAATGCTGGCATTCTCCAGTGTGAGAAGGTGCAGAGGAATTGTTCACTCCTATAAGAATAGGCCGAACACGACTGGTTTCTTCTCTCTATCATAGGTGTTCTCCGTTTTTGACCTCTGAACAGAATGAGCCTTGTGGCGTGAGGATCTCCCCAGGACCAGCACACTCTTTTTGTGAGTCGTGACAAAGTGGAACTGACAGCGTTTTAAGTACTTTGCAGATATGAAACAAACAAACAATCATAATATCAGTTTAAAATGTGAAATTCCCAGTTTATGCCACAAAACAAACTTTATACGAGGTTTTAAAAATAAGTTACATTTGACTCAAAATTCATGATGTACAGGAAGGCATTGTTGGCAGAATAGATGGATGCAGTTCAATGCATGCTTAATATAATTCAACAATACATTTCTTGGTAGTCCAAAAAATATTGCTATCAGGTTGTAAATCACATAAGCCTGGTACATTGTTTGCTACCTCCACCCATTTGGGATGCACTGTTTCAGTTTCAATTACTCAACATTTTGGACAAAAACTAATGTAACTAAGACTGGGAATGTCAATACAATCAAACTAGCAAGGGCAATGATTACAAGTCAGTCATAATGTGGCTAATAGGCTAACGTATCTATTTATGTAGCTATTTATTTAGCAAGCTAAAAACACAGAGCCTATGTTAGCTAGCTGCTGGGAAGTTCTGAGACTTATTTCCGGAGTGGAGCACACGGCTTAGCATGTCTCTCTAAAAATAGATTGTGGCTTGGAAAAGTTGAATATTTTCAGGAGTCGGGTAATTGTTTAATTAGGGGGATTGTAGGAAAGAGAGAGGAGGTTGAAAAGACTGAGGGAGGCAGAGGATAGGTTTGAATCTGTTGAAGCTAGAAATATGTTGAGGAAGATTGGTGTCAAGTTTAAACAGAGTG